AGCTATCCATGCAAAAACAAAAATAAATTATATTTACATACTATCGTAATAGAGGCTGCCTGGCCGGCATTCATATTTCTTGAAAATAAAGATACTTCGGCCAGTAAATATTTTTTATTGTTTCGACGTTTCGACAAAAATCTTTTGAATAATTTTTAACGCTTTTCCAAATGTTTAAATTTTGTTCGCTCCTGACGAGGACAAAAGATTTTTGTCGAAACGTCGAGACAATAAAAAAGATTTACTGGCCGAAGTATCTTTATTTTCAATAAATATTTACATACTAGTCTAACCTAAAGGATTTCACATACTTACCTACTTTAATACAAGAGACATATAACCCAAGCTCCTGTAGCGCCAACTGCCTACACATAAAAATTGAAACGTAATACAATCCGTCGGTTTCCGACCATCACGACCCAGTATCGTTTCCCATATTGAGATTTTTTTCTTCCACTATGGCCCTCGATTCTTACAAAGGTCCAACCCATGGACACACTTGTATCAAACTACCTTCTACATGTATAGGCATTTGGTTTACTTACAATAAAATATATATAAATAAATACGCAAATTAACAACACAAATAACAATGATGCATTCGCGCGCCTCATCTGTTATAATAAATTTAAACAGGTTTTGATGCCTTTGTTTTGTTTTTAATAGAAAAATTTCTACTGAAATTATTGCAATGAAATATTATTGGGAGGGACTGGCTATTTATTGTTGTGTATGCGTGTGTATATGGAAGAAAACATCGGAATTTCATCTTCAAAATAAACTTCATAATCTCTAAAAATGTCTGTCATATTTGAAAAGTAAATTAAAAACACAATTGCATAATTATTTCTTTTCTAATATGGTCATAAAAATTCAAAAAAGGGGATACCTCATTTAACACAAACGAAGAATATTTACACGTTCAAAATGGCGGGTTCGATTAGTTTCATGGGCGTCTGCTTCTAGCCGAGCCTTATCTCTCCACAATGTTCACAGAGTCGGAACTCACTAATCCTTTCCTTGTCGCCCTATGTGTCGAGGTTTATCTTCAAGGTTGACAGGGTTGGGGAAGATTCGTGTCAAATCTTTTTAGGAATTCATCCAAATGTATGCTTCCTTTGGTATGTTACATTTATGCTTAATGGATTCCTATTCCCATATATCCAAACGTTTGAGAACGTATCAGAGTAAAAGGTATTGGTTTGACATGACATTAGAAATTCTAAATACATATTTTCTACCAACGAATTCTGATATCTTGCTAAATCTTGATAGAACGCTACTTTTCTAAATACAAACACTAAATCGCGTAAATTTTTGTATAAACTCAACAATTAACGCACACAAATTCTTTATAAAGCCACCAGTCTTATACAGATTCTCCTCTTTCATTGTCGGCTTGCAACGATATCCTCATGATGATTAATCACCATCATGTAGTGGAGGAGAAAACGATAAATATGAGTTATTTTTTCTGTTTACTGCTTCGTAAAAGTTATATAGAGACAGATCAATCATTCGACTTGATATGGCGCTGGTTAAAATACTTTGCACTGAGGTAAGTTGGCTGTCGTTTACTTTTGAGAAGAACGTCTCTCTTTCTTCGCTAATATACTGGCACTCAAAGATGTAACGAGATATTTCAATTTCTATTTTTCCTTTGCAAAGATGGCATACTTTATCCCCCTAACTGAAGATTTTGAAATGGTTTTCCTGAAAAAAGGAATGGAGTATTCTCTGTTGTGCAATATAGCGTTTTACTGGAAATGGAAGGTTGCCAAGTAAATAGCTCTCAGTCAAAATTTAACTATGTAAGTTTCACCTATAGTGGGGATAGAATTTATAATTTTCTATTTTGACGTGATCATTTTGAATAGATCGTTATATTGCTATCTTTAATATTGATGGAATTGCCCTCTGCAACATTCTTATACCAATGTAGTGAGTAAACCAAGAAAATCCGGTTGAATTAAGTATGTTGGCCAAACTTTACGCAAAACCGATATAGATATTTCTTATTCTTGATATCTCCAGTAGTTGAGTTAGACATATATGGGTAAGTCGGCTATTGTTTATTTTCAGAATTCTAAGCCCCAGAACCTGAGTGTTAATTTCAACACTGTAACTCCCAGTGACGTTCGTCCACATTCCATGCGCAGAATATAACCGGGAGGGAGTATATTTAGGTCAATTTAAGAGCCGCTGGAGAATATAGTCCTTAACCCCGTCCACCAAGCTCTTCTGGTTATTGGCGCAAATCGGAGCAGCATAAAGCAAGGTTAAGGGAACCATTGAATCAAAGAGCTTGAGTGAGGATTTTATATAGTTGATCTGGTCAATATTGCCCAAACCACATTAATAGCATTTAGCGACTTGTTTTAAAAGGTTGCGCCGCCTGTTGAGTTGGAAGTTGGCAGCTGGTAACCCAAATACGTGTATTTAGCTGTTGTAGTGAGTTGTCCCCAGAACCAAACGTCAGAGCGAGCTAGTCGACCTCCATTTCTTAACACCATAACCTTTGATTTCTTTTGATTCAAAGTTAGGAAATATTCTTCGAAATATTTTCTGAGTTAATTAATATTTATCTGACTATTTATTTTGGATTCTCCCAAAATCACAATGTAGCCTGGAAACAGAAGGAGGTGTATGTTTCCATAATTCGGTAAATAGATACTTGGCATGTCCACATCATCATATAGAGAAACTAGGTCATTTAGAAAAAGGATAAATAAGTAAGATGTGATAGCGGTTCACCCTGTCGGACTCCAGATTGTATTTTTAAAAATTCCGTAAGTGAGCCGTTCCATCTAACTGTTGCAGACATTTGAGTATAATAGCTCTGTATGAGGCTGATGAAACGGTCGTTCAAACCATAAGCTGCCAACTTTTCCCAAAGAAGAAGGTGTGGTACAGTATCAAAAGCCTTTTTTAATATCCCCCAAAAACGTATAATTTACTCCTTTTGCGGGTCAGCGTCATTTGAATCAGTGAGGTAAGTGTGAAGATATGGTCTTGACAGGAATATCCTCTTCTGAAAGCCGCTTGATTTTCTGCCAATATTCCCCTTTTTTCCATCCAACTGTTCAACCTAGTCTTTAATATGGATGGAAAGAGTTTCGATAAGTTGGATAACAATGATATTCCTCTATAGTTTGGTGGTATATTTGGGTCGCACGTTTTGAAGATAGAGTGGATGATTGCTCATGTCCGCGTTGAGGGAACTGAGGATGTCATCAATATTTCATTGTATGTATTTGTTAACAATTTCAGATATTCGTTTAATTGCTTCATTCGGTATGTTATCCAATCCTGTCGCTTTATTTTTCCTTAGTTTGAATATTTCCGTAGTAACTTCTATATGCGAAATTTCACCATCTAGGTCCGGATCGAAATGATCTGGTGCTGAAGATAAATAAACATTTATTATCGGTGGGGAAGACAGCAACTTTCTGTAAAATTCCTGCCAATCAGGCATCATTGTCTTGAACTCCATTAAAGGGTTCTTCTCAAAAGGGTTTCTAGCAATACAAAGAGCCTTCTGTATATCTTCAAAGTATTGGTTCTTTTTTTGGTCTGATTAATGATAGATATTCTTTCTTGCTTGCAATAAACAAATATTTTTATCTGTATTGTTCTGTGTTGAATAGAGTTCATATTTTTCTTAGCTATGTAGCATTCCCTGTCCAACCACGGTTTAGACCTAACAGCACCAGAACTTGTCTTAGTTATCATCCCCGCCCTTAACATTGTCGCTTGGACTTCACTTGTAAGCATTTCGACCTGTGAGTCAATTGTGGAGTCTTCCACTAGTAAATTAGTTAAATTCCTCAAGCTGCTTTTGAAAGATGCAGCCTTGTCAGCTACCCAGTAATACTTGCTAATGGAACGAAACTTCGTATCATCTTTTGCCTTAATATTGTTTAGACCAGGGGTGGCGAACCTTTTTATATTAGAAGGCCAATTTTTTTTATTTTACCGTTTTTGAGAAGGCCGCATATTTATATATATTATATAATATATGACATTCGTATTAGATATTTTCAATAAAATAATGAAAGTAATTGAAAACTGCGAAACAAAAATTATAATTTTGAATTTATGAAAAGGCCACAACTTGGGCAAGAAAAGGCCGCACGTTCACCACCCCTGGTTTAGACCATTGAATTTTAAGACAAATGGTAGAAGATCCGAATAAGGCATGCATTTAATAGTAAGATCAACAATCAATTCAAGTAGTGCAGGCGAAACAATATGAAGATCAATAACTGAGGATTCTTGGGTTAAGATAAAAGTAAAGTTTCCATTTTTATCACCGATTGATCTTCCATTTATTATCGTGAGTGAATTCTCATCGAGAAAATCAACAAGAGTTCTTGCAAGAGATGATGAGACTGGATCGCAGGAGGTGCGGTTGGTAGAAAGCAGTGTCGGGGCGTCCAGCAAGTTATGGAAATCTCCAAGGTCACTGGTGCGAACATTTAGATCGCCACTAAGGACTATTTCTAACCCCTCCTGTATTTTATTCTCATTGTAACAAATTAGGTTTTTTAGATTCTCAAATTGTGACTGGATTGGAGGTAGGTAAACAAAAGTCATACAAACCAGTATTGAGTCTGTGGATGGGACTAATTTAAAAATTACCGAAATCCATAGCGGTTTCATTTCAACTTTTACAATTTTTTGCTAGATAGTTTTACTAACTCCCATAATAATGCCCCCTGAACAACTTCCTCGGTTTAGGGTTTTAAAGCCAGAGTTTTATAAATTTCATACTTCTCAACTGTAAAGTACATCAGGGAATAACACCACGTTTCGGTCAGAGAGAAAATATATAACATACAATATAACGCGGCTTATGATTGTAAAACGAAAATTCCAATTATACCGCGAATGTTTCTTTTAAACGAAAAATCACAATTTATTTCAAAGAGAAATAGCGATTATTTCTAACTTTAAGGATGAAGTATGATAGGATGAATTGTGAAGAGTAATAATAAACGGAAAAGCCTAGTGGACATGGCATCTGCCCGGTAAGCGGAACACTGTGGGTTCGATTCCCATCCCTGGACACTTTTATTTTTCCGTTTATCATTACTCTTCAGAATTCATCCTATCATACTTCATCCTTAAAGTTAGAAATAATCGCTATTTCTCTTTGAAATAAATTGTGATTTTTCGTTTAAAAGAAACATTCGCGGTATAATTGCAATTTTCGTTTCAAAATATATAACTGTTTAATATAATCAATGAGCGTGTGTGTGGAAAAACGGAAATAATTCTAGAGTCCACCTATATTCCAGGAGATTATTCTATGAGGATTCTTCCTTGGTAACCTTTTATTTGGATAATTTGAGTTTTTATGGCTAGCTAAAAGTGCAGAATGCCGAGCTTTATTCGTCTGTAGAAGTGAGTTTTTCTATGATAGTTCTTGTATAGGTTGTCGCAAAAATTCATCCTGAGAAAGTTTTTTTATAATTATAAAAATAGGTTGGACTGTAGAACGGTATGAATGCTATCCGGAGTTTGCTATAATGCATCGCCGCTGGAGCTGACAATGCGGCCATTTAAAACAGAGTAGCTTATGCCACGGACAATTAGCCTGTTATCCCTTAGCTTGGAAAAGTTCCCTTTCTCATGAGTTCTTTTCGCTTGCTAATCAGTAACTCCTCTTGTCTATAATCTTTATTTATGTTTTTTTTTTTTTTGTCCCTGAGTCTGAAAGTATTCTTAAAAAGCAGAATTATTTGCTTGAAATTGGCACTTCAAAAAGCAGCGGCGAGTTAGCTTTTTTGCTAATCTTCGGTATGTTCTATCTTAAGTTCTTTGGAAATTTGCATCTGTTTGAGATCAGATCTTGGATCAATCGTCAGGGGTTTCGTTTTCTGCTCCTTTCCAGTCCGTAAATAATCAAGTTCCTTTCCCTCTGCCTCATCTCCCAAGCTCTAACCCCATCTTTCGAGATCAGATATTATATTTGTATTATAAGCGAGACAGCTTTAGAAGCAGTTTCCAAAGATGACTCGAGGTGCTGTAAACGCTTATTTATTTTGTCCAAATCTTGTTCTACTGGAGCAAATCTAGTTTCCATTTTCTGCCCCAAGTCATCTATTTTAGTTGAAAGTGCTATGATTAGATCATGTAAATCTTTGCCTTTGCCAGAATCTAATGTCGTTTGGGGCCAGGATTTGGTTCAATACCTGATATGAGCAGTAACGTTAAAATAAGGTTGTCCCAAAAGTTCGTGTTTTTCCTATTACTTTGCAAATAACAACATTAGGACGAATGTATAATATAATATACTAGCGGATGTACCCGGCTTCGCCCAGGTTTTTCTCGAGGGAATGTTTGTAGTCTAGTAATAAGAAAATATACTACACCTAAAAACTATCAGAGAAAAGAGAAACCACGGAAGGTGAACAGAAAAATGCTTACAATGGATGTTATGTTTACGATATCAAGTTAAATAAAAAACAAAGATAAAATTTGCATATGTTGGTCACTATAAATTTGTATATTTGTTAGGCGAAATTAGAAACATGATAAAACAATTGGATATTTAAAAACAAATGTAGAATAAAAGTTGAAGTATAATAAACAATGTTAAAGATTAGTTTTAATTATTAATCAAGATTGTGTGTGAATATGTGAGAAAGATGTAATATCGTTGTTGTTTTCTTGGCCGACTGTTTTACATATGGTGTTATCTTAAAATTGCTTGTTTTGAATATTTTTTAGATTGAGATTATTAGCTAGTATTTAAAAAAATTAACTCTGTTGAAATTTAATTTTGTATTTATATATAAATAAAATTAACTATGTTGATTTTTTTTTTGTATTTAATCGATAACAGCGAAGTTACGCATGTTAATGTTAAGAAAAATATTTTGATGTTAAGCAAAACCTGCTCCATCTCGTTTTACATAAATGTTGAAAATTTGGTCGAAATTGATGCATTGTAACGAAAGTCTTTAGTGGTGTCCACTTATGAAATTTCCATTTTATTAATATAGATAATACAATTACTTTATACATAATACAAAGACATTATACATAACAGCGAATAATATTTGTATTTTAATTTTTTTTCAAGTGTTTAAGAACTTTTGGGACAACCTTGTACTAATTGATTTAAATCTCCTGGATATAAATTAAACAGTACCATAGGTTTCTGAAGATGAGTTTCTTTCCATTTTATTAACGTAGTCTTAAGCTTTCAGGCATCTCTGTCCTTCTACAGAAACTCATCTTCAGAAACCTATTGTTTAATTAAAATAATACATCTACTGCGTTCCTTTCCAGCACGAGCAAACGAGATAACCTTGAAATTTGCATAATAAACAAACGTTTTAACGCGAGAATTTGCATATCTAGTAATCGCAGCAGCTTCTATTGCAACAATGAAGATATTAATTATATAAATAAATAAAATCAACTTCCTAATCTTCGTAGAGAATATATAAATTATAGGCCGACGACAGGATACTCACAAGAAGGTATAATCCAAGTATCAGCACACAAAAAAAGCAAAATAATGAGTTAAAAATATTTACCTATCGGGAGCCGAAGAATTCCACATCCGTTGAGCTTGGCCTCCTAGCGGAAAATAACAATTTTTACCTATATTTTAAATATTGCATCATTTGACTATATTCAATAAAAACTTTACTTGCCTTTATAATAAAATAGGCAGAAACTGATCGCTATTTAGAACTATAAATAAATAAACTACAAACAATATTTATTAAAAAATTATAAACTAGTTATGCTCGAGTGCTTAATACACAATAATGTGATTCCATTTTACTACAATGATAAAATATTGGGAGAGTTCAGTATCTTCTATCCTCCCAATATTTATTTACTGCGGTAAGGACATTTTCAATAAATAAAAAATTTTCGATCACAAATAGTTTATAATTTTGTATACAGATGGCGCTCTTATAACATAGAATATATGTTGTTTTTAAATAAACAGAATATACTCATGGACAAAACTTAAGAAAGTTGTATCTTTTAGCAGATAATCGGGATTTAGACAATAACTCTGAAAGTTGTTTGATACACAGGTTCTCCTCAGACCACACGGGAGACTGCCTGAACTGCGTCGGGATCTGGTTATCCACGGATGGCCAATCCAATGGTGCGACTCAATTAAGGTGCTGGGTGTGAGATTTGATCAACGTCTATCTTTCCACCAGCACGTAGTTGAAGTCTGCGCCAAGGTCCGCGGCATGTTGCCGCGTTTGACCGCAGCCGCTAATCTCAACTTTGGTTTTGGTTACTGCGCCTTGAGAACTTTGTATCTGCAAGTAGTTGTTCCAGCCATTGCCTATGCCTCGGTGGTATGGTTTCCTAATCTTTCTCAACGCTCCTTAAATGTTCTACTGAGAGCTCAAAGGCCTTTCCTAGTGAGGGCTTGTAGAGCTTTCAGATCAACCAGCAACGCTGCTCTTTTCTCCCTCACTAGAGTTCTTCCTCTCGATCTGGAAATCTCGGCTAAAACTGAGCTATACCTTAAAAAGTATGGATTGGTTGACGCTGAAATTCCCCTCGAGTCTCCTCCCTTTCCACATCCTCTCCCTTACGCCCCCCCCCCCTCCCCCCCCCCCCCCCCCCCCCCCCTATTACTCCGCTCCCTGTAATATTCCTGCTCTTTTCTTCCACGTGGCATACTATACAGATGGTTCCAAAAACATAGATGGAGTTGGCGCCGGCGTGTACAGGTTCTCTTGTCTCGATTGTGCACCTGAAATACGTGAATTTCATGTCCTGTCCCCTCATTGTTCTGTCTTTCAGGCGGAAGCCCTTGGATTGGTTAAGGCACTTGAAAACGCAACCACTTTACCAAATCATCTAACCTTAGGGTTCTTCCTGGACAACCTCTCAGTCGTGAAGTCAGTTCTGAACTCTAAGACTGGTAATTACCTTATCGACAGAGCTCTGCTACTGATTTCGCGATTGAATCGCAATGGGAACAGATGCACCATACAATGGATCAAGGGCCACAGTGGGATCGTGCGTAATGACATTGCGGACACACTCGCAAAGCGGGGTGCTGAGTCTGCTGACCCAAGCTGTTACAAATTCGCTCCTTTGTCGTTTGTAAAATCGGCAATCTACGGCCGGGCGCGTGAAGCATGGGAAAGCAGATTCCTCTATCTAGCTCCTTCTATCCACACCCGCTTTGGCCTTACTCCAATGAGTCCTTTAGACAAAAGGTATGCGTACATCGTCCCTAGCGAGCACATTGTTGTTGGCCTGCTATCGGGACACACGTGGACGGACAGTTTCGCCTACAGGATAGGCGTCATTGACGATCCTTCCTGCCCTTACTGCGACGCTGACAGAGAAGAAACTCTGTCACACATCGTGCTTGAGTGCAGCAGCCTTGATGTCCTTAGATTCCCCCTTCTTTCCACCTGTGCAGAAGAATTAGGGTACACTCCGCGGTCACTCAAAGACTTTATTTTCAACAGGAGCACTTGGCGAGCCTGCCTGGAGTTCCTAAAGGTCTCTGATAGACTTAAGCCACGCGTCCGCGCGGAGGATTCGGATCACTTGAGTGACTCGGACTCCTCACCTCATGGTTAACACCGGTCATTAGCGGCCGCTCGTAGACGCAACTGAGATCGGTTTCGCGACCTGCCCTGTGTATGTGATCGCCTCTGACGCTGTCTCTGTAACCCAAGGACAGAGGGAAAATGGTTTGGCGATTCGACGGCGCGGGCTGCTCGAGAAATCGACTCACGCAGCGACCCATTTGAACGCGCTATGCAATCTATGGTGTACTTTTCTGGTTGGTTGTCTTAGTACTGTTACCCTCACTAGTAATCTTTGTAAAAGATTTCAATTTCAAAAATTTTATATATTACGAATAGCAATTTTCTTATCTAAAACTTTTATATATTTATTTTTACAAAAAGAAAATCTATCTTTTCTCATCAGTTGCTGAATCATTCCCGCTTTATCTAATATCCTTATTTCAACAACAGCTGTCTTTCTTTTATCTTCCCTGGCCTGGGGAATCTAACCTTTTTGAACAACCTTGGTTGCGTGCAGCACCTTGGTAC